AATATTATTTTAAAAACTAAAAAGATGTCTAAGGAGTGGAGGAAGAGTATTTTGGTCCCCATTTTTAAGAATAAAGGGAATGCACAAGAGTGCGCAAATTATGGAGGAATTAAGTTGATGCGCCATACTTTAAAATTATGAGAGAGGGTCATTGAACATAGGTTAAGATGTATTATAAATATTTCTCATAATCAATTTGGATTAATCAATTTGGATTTATGATTTATGCCGAGCAAGTCTACTATGAAAGCTATACATTTATTGAGAGGTTTGATGGAGAAGTTCAGAGATAATGAGGAACTACATTTAATTTTTATTGATTTTGAAAAAGCTTACTATAAGGATCCAAGAGATCCTTTGGAGAGTTCTTGAGAAGAAAGAAGTTGATATGACTTATATTCAAGTCATTAAAGATATGTATACTAGAGCTGTTACTTCTGTTCGCACTGACGGATGATTGAATAATTATTTTCCTATTTCTGTTGGATTACATCAGGGATCTGCTTTAAGCCCATATGTTTTTCCTTTAGTTATGAATGGTCTTACTGGACATTTACAGGAGCTTGTACCCAAGTGTATGCTTTTTGCCAACGACATCTTTTTTGTGGATAAGACTACATAAAGAGTTAAAGAAAATCTTTAATTTCCAGGAAATACTTGAATTATGGAGGTCTCCATTGGAGTCCAAAGGCCTTCATTTGAGTAAAACTAAAACTGAATACATGGAATGTAATTTTAGTAGTGGTAGCTTTAGTGATAGAAGTGTAACTTTGGGTGATCAAATTATTAAAAGATGTGAACGATTTAGATATCTCAGGTATGTTTTTCAAAGTGATGGTGATATAGACGGGGATGTTAATAGTAGAATTCAAGTTGGTTGGTTGAAGTGGAGAAATGCTTCGGGCCTTTTGTGTGATGGAAAAGTATCGCTTAGACTGAAAGGAAAATTTTATAAGATGGTGGTGAGACCTACAATGCTCTATGGCGCTGAATGTCGGCCTTTAAAAGAGAAGCATAATACTAAGTTAAGTGTTGTCAAGATGAGAATGATTAAGTGGATGAGTAGCTTTACACTTAGAGACAATGTGAAATGAATATCTTCGTGATAGAGTTGGTGTAACTCTGGTGACGGACAAAATTAGAGAGAGTCGTCTTAGATGGTTTGGTCACATTAAATGTCGACCATCTAGTGGTCCGATTAGAAGAGTAGATGTTTTAGATTCAAATTATGTTAAAAAAGGCATAGGTAGACCTAGGAAGACTTTGGCTTATTGTATAAGAAATTATCTTAATTTATCAGAACTAAATGAAAATATGACACTAAATAGGATGCATTGGAGAAAAAGGACTAATGTAGCCGACCCCACGTAGTGGGATTAAAGCTTTGTCGTTGTTGTAACCTTTTAGGTTTAGTCATGTGATTAAAAAATAACTAATAAAGAATGACATATTTATAGAAGACAGAGAGAACCTGACCTAGGAGAAATTTATAGTTGCTCTAATTTAATTTCATTTATGTAGTGGTCTTTTCATTTACTTTTTAGATCATTAACTAATAGCGATAGAAAAAAAAAATAAAAAATTGGATTTCAACATCTGACCATCTATTACATCCTTGAAAATTTTAAGTCCTGGGTCGGGTCGAGACAAATAAGCCTCAATCAAAAGTTCTCTTATCATTGGGAGAGGTTATTAATATTATAGGAATGCTCCTCTGAAAAACCTATAACCAAATCTTAAAATCCTCTCAAGTTGAGGACAAAATGAAAATTAGTTCAAATCTAAATGTCTACTAAGAGATTTCATTACTTGTACAAGATAAACCTAGACAATTACACATTAATATGCGAAACAACTTATCTATTAATATGGAACTATTTTGTGTCCATAAAATAGATGAGGGGTCAATGGCAGGTATTATCCATATACACATAAAAATAAATAATTTATTGTAGAAATAAGGGCTCTCTAAAGAGGAATAAAATTATCAATGATTGTGTCAATTTAATATAAATAAGACTCAAGAAAAGAATATTACTCCATGTTTCTAAATGTAACCATATAACAATAGAAATACTCAAAAAGATTACTAGATTCATTTGAACATCCCATAAATCATAATCATCAAAATATTGATATGAATATTGTGGGGGCGTGCATAAGAGTCATGGATCTTGTAGGAAAATGCAGGAACAAGGGAATAGAGATTTTATTAAAAAAAAATAAGAGGTTATCTTAATCTATAACTAATAGACGAGAGAGAAAAGGAGGACCTCATGAGAACCTTGTTAATAGGATTTCAAATGGCCTTAAGATACATCCCGAGAGAAAGTGAGAGGAAAATGCTAGGATAGGCCTTCTTAATTGAGAATTGGAGATGGAGTGTAGAGAGAGAGAGAGAGGACAAATTGAGAAGAAAATAATAATAATTAGTTATTTTAATCTTAATTGTTATATCTAAAACCTATTATTTATAGAAAAATAGTAGTTAATCAATGCATTCCACTATTCCAATTAAATGCACTAATTTAAGAATTGAGTAAAGTGTCAAAATAATCCTCAGACTATTTACAATTGGCCAATTTAGTCTTAAAACTATAAAAGTGTCGACTTATTCGACATACTATTTTAATAAGGGATAAAATAGTCCTCTGGTAGGGCTACTTCAACCCATGTTAGATTAAAATCCTCCTAAAAAGAGTCAAATGACTAGTTTAACATTTTTTCTGTTTAAGAATTTATATCCTAAACTTCTATATCCATTTAATTTATGGATAAGAATAGCTTAAATCAAGATAATATTTGCTTTGATTTTACGTAAATGGTGGCTGACCATATAGATTAGATGGAGAAATTATTAGGCAGTTTCTTTGATTTTGGGAGAGAATATTAGGCAGCATCTTTGATTCAATCACATAAATTTTTTCTTGAAGCTAATTTAGCTGGCCGACACCAATTTTAAAATCACAATTTTGCATTTCTATACTCCTCAATTTTATTCCAGATTTGTCTTAACATTAAACTTGTGATTCATTTTATGGAGTGCTAGATCATGACTACAGCTTTTGTTATTTTCTCTTAGATGCCATGAATTATAGAGTAATGATAAATTAAAAATAAAATATAACACTTGACTAATAAAGTTGATCTTAATTACATCAAAACTGTAATATTTTTAAACCCAAGCTAACCAGCTTGTCCATCTCGTTTGACTATCTCATCTAATGATCTTTTTATCAACAATACATAACCCAAATGTATGATGGCAAATCGCCTGATAAAGTCGATATATTTTAATTTATCATGATTGATCTTTTAATAATGAATCTAAAGTTGATGTGCTATCCCAAACAGTGAATTGTACCTGCATAAAACGATCAATACAAAGAGAATTCATATTTTCTCCTCGATTGAATTAGCTTCATGTTTGCTTTGAATATATCAAAACCTTCCCCAACATCATATCAAGCCTCTTGGGCATATAATTGAACTCCTTTGGAACTAATCCTGTGATCCACTCTATTACTCACTCCATGATCCTCTTGGAGTTTATCCATGTCCTATTAGACTATTGCACAAACTAAGGAATCATTTGTGGACACATCAATAGACAACATTCTCTTTGCGATCATCGCTCTTTGTCCATTGACTCTTAATTTTCTTCATGATATGTTTGTGTCACAAATTTGTAGCAAGCTCTTCCAAAGTGGTCAGCATAATATTTGTCAAGTAAGCTGTCTATTTGGACATATAATTTGTGAAATTGAAGCAAGGTTATTCTAATTCCTTCATACTTCTCTTAATTCTACCCTCCGTTTATAGGTGTTCATTTCCATACAACTTTCTAGCTCATACAACTCATAATAAGATCTTATGAGTTGGAACTGGTGCTTTAATACCTAATTGACAAAAGGATTACGGGTGTGTTGAACAGTTGTGGAATCAACAAGAAAATATTGGGATAAAGGTAAATGGATTCTATAGAAAAATAGTGAAAAGAACAGAGTCAACGAACTTGATTTTGGGAATTGCACTATTTTGAATTTTTGCAGCCTCAATATGCATGCTGGATAGAGAAGGAGAGGCTCAGGCAGGCCTCCAGAATCAAAAATAGGGGAGAGAGAGAGAGAGAGAGAGAGAAGGAAAATCATTCAATTGCTTCAAGTTTAATTGTGGCATCCTTAGGCCTCATGTTTATAGAAAAATAGGAATCCACTCATCCTAAGGCCTCATTTAGGAATCCTTGGACTAAATTTTCTGCATTCATTTAATTTATGAATAACCATAGATCAAATAAAGAGAATAGTCCCTTGGATCTCTTCTTAAAGAGTGGCCTGCCATATAGAAATATGTGGAGAATTTGGGTTAGAATATTTAGTTTCCTTAAACTTCCCTCCTGTCCTTATTTAGCTCTCTACAACCAATTTTGAAATCATTTTTTCGCAATCTACCCCCCTCAACTTTTCTTTGCAAATTTATCCTATCAAAATTAAACTTCATTTTTTTTAGAGCCTCCAGGATCAAATATAGTCATCCATTAAATACTTTTATTGAAGATTTCATAATAGATATAATGAGTTAATCAAATGCTGTTGCCCCAGATTACATAAGCTGAAAGTGTATACAATACACAACAACAACAATAACAACAACAAGCCTTTCTCCCACTCTACATGAATCCCATTTCTCCATTGTGTCCTATTGAGTGTCATATTTTCATTTAATTTTAATAGATTAAGATGATTTTTTATACAATATGCCCAAGTATATGCCCAAGTTTTTTTAGGTTAGTTTTTTTAGGTTTATCTCTGCCTTAGAAAAGTCGAATCTAAAACATTTACTCTCCTAACTGAATCATACAGCAAATAAAATATACTTCAAATTACAAAACTATCTTAATTATGAATATCAAGAGATGTGATTAGCAAAGAGAGTGAAATTATAAAAAGATATTCTGCGATGTGTTGCAAAAGGAACAGCATTTCCAAAAGAAAAATTACTTGAATTCACATGTAAAAGCTCTATTCTGGAACAACTTCAGTACTTGACTAACACCATTGGTGATTCTGTGACACAAACATGTAACAGAAGTGTCAACTCATAGAAAATACAGAGGAAAATAGCAGGCAAATGAACAATTAGCTTGCCTAGCAAGCATAGGCGGAATAGGTGCGCCTGGTTCCATTGTCAAAGCAGAAGCAGAAAACTCAATTCCTTTGCCCAAGAGAGAAGGAACAAGCAAATCCTATTGATGTACAATTAACAGATTAATCTCTGTGAAAAACAAAACGAAGAGTTGCATACATACCACTCAATTCTTATGTATTTACATATCTAACACCAAAACTTCATTTTTTACATACGTACCACCTTACCTATGCAGGAGAACATGCATTTCACTTTTAAAAAGTTAAAATGATGGTATTTTTTATGTGATGTGAAAGATTTAGGTGCTATAAATGTAAAAAGAAAAGTTTAGGTGTTAGAATGCAAATACATAGGAATTTGGTGGTCTGTATGTAAATGCCCAACACAAAAACGTGAGGTAAAATATGTCAAATAAGAGTTTAAGCATTATTCTGGAATGCAATGCAGAAAAATTCAAAGAAATTTGGTTATCATAGTACGGTGATCATAATTCTGAGCCTAAAATTTATTTGTACAACTATTTTCATCTGGTCTGATGCAAAAGGAAAAAGCTACTCTTCAAGAGTTTATACAAAAATGTCTAACGAGAAGAAAAAAAGGAAATTCAAAATATCATACAAATTACCCAAAACCAAAAACAGCAATAGCATAGCAAATGGATGGAGCATGCCAAAAATGGCACTTAGACACAATGAGGCAATGTAAAAATTAAAACATTTAGGGGTCGTTTGGGATCACGATTGTTTTTTAATTTTATTTTGTTTTGTTTAAGTTTGATTTGAAAAAAACATGTTTGGCTATTAGCATAAAATATAATTGTTTTTTAAAATATCCAAAACACTTAAAAGCTATTTTAACTATTTTCAGTACATGTTTTTATTTTTAGAAACAAAAAATAAAAAAAATAAAAACAGACATTTTTTTAGAAATGAAGGGAGAAAAAACAAAATTGATCTCAAACAAATCCTTAGTATTTTTGGATTTTATACTTTAAAGTGCATCTCCCAAAGCTTAGGGCTCTATAGGGACACAATCAAGAAACATTTGGCCAAAAAAACTGGGTATAAATATGCCTCTAATCTGGTTAGATCCCAAAATTTTGTCTTTTTTAGCTCTTATTTCCATCTTTGTTACAACTTTATAATCCTTACCCAATCATTGCCATTCAGTTTATCATATTCATTTGTGCATGGCATGGTGAACATAGATTATCATTCATTTCTCTTAGTTTATCCTCAATTTCACATATTTTAAAAAGCACAGTTATCCTGTTCTAGGCAAGCTGTTTCTACTATTCCAATGGTCTCTGGCCTTCTTTGTTACCAAAGTATCATCTCTTTTATATGTTGATATTTAAAGTCATGCCTCGTACTCCATTATGCAGTCCATAACAGGTCTCATAAATAAATGGACTTCTGTAGCTAAAAAAAAAAGACAAATTTACATTCTATTCTTGTGTTTTACATATCTCACGCCTAAACTTTCATTGTTACATGCATAGCACGTTGGTCTGTAGCCTTACTTGTTACGTAGGTGTCCTCTCTTTCCTATGTTTGATATTTGAAGTCGTGCCTCATACTCCATTATCAAGTCCATAACAAGTCTCATAAATAAAGGCAATTATGTAGATAATAAAAAGGGAAATTTTCAAATGCAACATGCAATTATTATGTATTTGCATATCTCACACCTAAACTTTCATATTTACATACGCAGCACTTTGATTCTTTAAAACTACCCAACCTATCGATGAAAAGGTGGATTTTACTTTTTAAGAAGTGGTAATAGTTCTATTTTTGATGTGATATTAAAAATTTGAGTGATGTGTATGTAAAAATGAAAGTTTAAGTGCAAGATTTGTAAATACTTAATTGTGTCCTATCTATGCAAACACTCTAAAAAACAAACATAAAAAAAATAGTACACAAAGAAGCCATCATCATTTTTGTATTGACGTAATGAAATCCTCATTTTCGATTCATTGCAACCATGCGCTACCCCTCGGGTTAAACCTATTATTTGCTAAACATTTTGAGCGATCTCTATTCATGTTGCCTTGAGTTTATCACTTCTTTTGCCTAACGAGTAAAATGCAAAATAGTATCCTTAGACCTGACTATTTACATTGGACCACTTTAATTCAGAGATTACAAAAATGTCAAATTACTCCCGTGTTGTTTTAATATGAGTTTAAATAGTCTTCAATGAGGAATATTCTGGCCTATATTAAAATAGTCTGGGGACTAAATTGATACTTTTATAAATTCTGGGATTAAAATGGCCACCCTGCAAAGAGTTTGGGGATCATTTGAAACTTTTCTCTTTTCCTAATTCTTTGACACAAAAGGTGTCTTACAAAATGCATGAATACACCAATACATGAAGGCATTGCTGTGGTAAGCAAAACATTATTCAACTTATGCTAAAATGTCCATTCATAAATAAATAAAAATTTCCAATTAATTACATAGAATATTCAATGATAGTTACTACAACAAACCAAAAAAGCATCAAAACAACATAAATAAAATACAGAAAAGAAGTTGAAGCTCCATGAAGTAGCTCGTATGTAGGAGTGTGCCTGTGTGAGTATTTTCAAAAACTTTTTCTGAAAACCAACTTACAAAAAAAATCACCAACATTTGAAGATCTCAAGAAACAAGAGAAGGCAACTTCAATTAAATGAAGAACTAATTCGTATTAAACACGCAATTTAGAACAGAATATGTCATAAAACTCAAGAAAATTTACACCCAGTCAAATCAGATAAGCGAAAAAAAAAAACAAACCAGATTTGGAGATATATTATAGGCTTCAGTAACAGCTGCAGAAATTCCCTGAAAAGATTAAAAATTATAAATGAATAAATAGAACAGCATATCTAGAAAACAAGGAACACAATCACAAAACTACACTGCTGAATGTTATTGATCAACTGAATAGACAACTATAACGCAAAGCTGGCCATTATAATAACATTTTATTGGCTCATCTAAACAACCTAAACAAGTCTTCCATGCATACAAAATTTACTGAGAAATCAGTAACAGCATTATACATGAAAATGAACAAAATTTACGAGCAGTTAGGAACGAGGCTTATTTTAATAAAAATAAAAAAAGGAAAGCGTCCAAATGGTTTCCTGGCTTTTTTTGGACTTCTATTTTAATCCCAAAGCCTATAAAAATGTCAATTTAGTTCCCAAACTCTTTTAATTAGGGTTAAAAGAGTATTCTCTAAAACTATTTCAACCCAAATTAAAAGAGTCCAAAGACTAATGTGACATTTTTATAGACTATGGGACAAAAATGACTTCATCAAAATAGTCGGGACTATTTTGACACTTCACTCGAAATAAAAATATGTAATTTGATGACTTAAATAAAATATTCAATTTTCAAAGCAAACAGATAAGAACAGATATGATTTTTCAAAAAAAATATGATAAAAATAATATATATTTTATTCTGCCGAAAGCAAATAAGCAATTACAACTCCGAATACATATAAAATAAGCACCTACAATTTGAGAGGTAGGCGACCTCTCCCAAATCCTACAATTCAAGAGGAAGACGACCTCTTCCAAATCCTACAATTCAAGAGGTACGAACCTCTCACAAACCCTAGCCCTAAGTCTCAAAGACAACAATCTCATGTATAATCTTAACCCTAAGCATGTTATCCCTATTTATACTAAACAATAATAAATAACAAATACTAAATTGTCTCAGGGACCGATGTAACAATACTCCCCTCCCAAGAACACAACTTATCCTCAAGATGGAAAAAAAGAAAATTGCTATTGCATCACGTCGTCTGGCTCCCGCTCATTAACTGGCTTAAGTCTAGTTCTCATCGTCAACACACATGACCTTCAACTTCTCAAAAGTCTGGGTACCTCGACTAAAATTTATCCTTCTTCAATTTATTCGTTAATGACCACACAATCGAATTAAAATTCTTCACCAACTTTCGATAGTATTTTGTATGTCCAATAAACCTTCTCAGCCCCTACAATTCTTAGGCAGTGGCCCCTCCAACCTATCTGTCACCTTCGATGGATCTGCTAGCACCGGGATCTTGCACAAACTAAGGTCACCGCGAAGCACAACTGCCTTATCTCCCTTCTTAAATTGCATGGTAAAAAATTTCCAAATCATCTTATTCTACCATATGGATTGCAAGCATTTCATACCCAATATCATGTCAGTGATCCCTAAATCCAAGGAAAGAAAATTTTCCATCACCTGAATGTCTGGCAATGTTAAAATTACTCCTTTAAAAACTCTCCTGCTCTTCTCCACCTGTCTCATCCCCAGAATGACTCTAAAAAATTCTGAATCCACCATCTCAAGCCCCCTAATTGCTTCATTATTTGAGAAGAGAAAGTTGTGGGTGACCCCACTATCTATCAACACAACTACGTCCTACTCTCTGATCCTCCCTTGAAGTTTCATAGTGTAGTTCGGTATTAATCCCACCACTGAATTCAACAAGAGTTCCGCCACATCCAAGCGAGGGTGTTCGTACTCCTCCTCCATAGCCTTCTCTGTTTCTGCATCCCATGCCTCCAGTCACACACTGTGAAAATCTGTAATGTTCGATCCTTGTAATGGTGTCCTGGAGAAAACTTTCCATCACACCAAAAACAAAACGAATTGACCTGCTTCTTCTAAATCTCTATATTTGTAATGTGTTTAAGTGTCGCCCACGGTCATAACCTCTTATTCCCGTCTTGTGGAGCCTCCCTCCGGACCTCCGTTGTTTCAACTTTTGGTATTATTGTGGTTGCAGCAGTTCAGTGCGGTGCTCCAACTGTGCTCCTATTAGACTGTTTCATTTCATTTTTATCTTTAGCCTACTATGCTAATTCTATAACTTCCTCCAATCCTTGCAGTCTCAATAGGCCAAGTGATGCTCAAATCTCTGGCTTCAACCCTTCCATGAAATTGTCTTCCAACACTTCTTCTGATATCCCTCTCAAACAGTCGGAAAACATCTCAAACTTCTCCATGACGAATCCTTCCTGGATCAATTCAAAAAATTGCTCGTGTAGATCCTCTTCTTGTGTGGTTTTGAAGGGCTCCAACAATCGATTTTTGAATTTTTCCCATGGTCGGATTGATTGATGTTGCTCTCTCCATTGTTATCATGCTAGAACTTTTCCTTCCAAACACAAAATTGACACAATCAATTTTCCTTCCTCCATCAGCCCATTAACAACAAGGTATCTTTCCACATGATAAACCCATGAATAGACACCCTCTCATTCAAAGATCGACATTTTCAGCTTCCTTATGCGTGGGTCTCCTCCCTAATTTCCTTGACTGAAGTTTATTCCACCCATAAAGAGAGGTTTGGGTTCCCTTCCTCGACCCACATTGATTTCCCTTCTTCCATAAGTTTGGCTCGCCCCATAATCAGCTTGCTCTTCCTCTTAGGCTCATGAATCTCCTTTCGCCCAAAACGCTGCGGTAACAAGGCACGAATGCTGTTGGATGCAACCCTCGGTCAGGGTCCATGGTTCTATATTCCGGGTCAAAATCCTTCGAATCAATCTTCTTCATCCTTGAATAGAAAGATGTCCCATTCCGCCTGTCAACGCTCATTCCAGCTGTCTAGATGTCACATTAATCCTTCTATGTGTTGTCGCTGAAGTCCGCTTCAAATTCCTTCACTCGATGCCAATACAGGAAGTAGCGGGTTTTTGAAACTCCACAATCTTCTTCATCATTTCTTCCAAGACGGTGAATATCTACTCCATGGAAGAGAAACACCTCAATTCAAACCTGATTTTGCTCACTTCTTCCACTAATTCCTTCTATAAACCATCTACTTTCTTGGTCATCATTACTCCATGTATGACTTCAGAACTCCTTTAAGCTGAAATCAACAGGTTTGGAAATTTTGGACGCGTATTCGGCTTGTGCGGAACTTTGGACGTCGCAATCCCTGAATTCTTGTACTCAGGTTGGCCCAAAACTATTAAATGCCGCACATAACTCTAGGAGTCGCAATTTGAATTCTTGTATGTTGGTTCAGCGTGGACAATCCTATTGCTGGCCTCTCACAATCAGGATTAAAGTTGGTCGCAGATCTCGATAGCGAGTTTTGGTCATGAGAAGCATGAAACTCCTTTACGCCGTGATCCCAATCACGAATTTTGATCAAGAGCGACACAGAACTTTTGTACGCTGCAATCCATCGACTTACCTGCGGCAGTTTCTTGACCGTATCGCATGTTTGTTCCCCACAATCCCATCATTGGCTTCCCAGCCATAAGAAAATTGCAATTAGAGCTGTGAAATTGGTCGAAGATCACGAATCCCTCGAAAATCGGATCAAACCATTCGAGCCAAGCTACAAGCCAAATTAAATGATCAAATTTATTTTGATCCTCCTCGGCTCAAATCGAGATTGGATCGGGATCGAAATAAATTCTTATGTACTTACATATATAACACCTAAATTTTTAGTTTTACATGCATATATAACGCATTGCCAGCTTCGTTGGTGAGGTCTTTTTGCTTGAGCGAAGTGGCAGGGGTGTGAATCTCCTCTAAAAAAATATTTTTTTTCTGGTGGGTTGGTCGGGCGGGCCAAGGCGGGTTAGATCCGGACCGATCTGGTTCATGAGCCAAAAATGGAATTCTAGCCGGCTTGAAAATTGGATCGAGCTACACTAGATCGGATTGAAATTTACTGGATCGATCCACGATCCGATTTTGATCCTTTTAAAAACATTTTGATCCGATTTTGAGCCAGCCCTGGATCGGCTCGAAATCGGATCGCTCACACCCCTAATTGCAATTGTATCTATGTCTTTACACGATCCCGATCCACTGCAATCTTGATGATGGCATCCCTGCTAGCTTCAAATTCAGACTGTATATAAATTCTTGCTTGACTAGGGCAAGCCAATTTTTCTTCATAGAACTGAATGCTCTGATGCTAATTTGATAGGAGCCGAGATAATTTTCCAGAGGAATTAGGGCATAAACAATATATGTTTTATTCTGTTAAAAGTAAATCAATGATTACAACTCCGAATACATAAAAGAAAAGCACCTATAATTTGAGAGGTAGGTGATCTCTCCCAAATCCTACAATTTGAGAGGTATGAAATTGCATTTGAGAGGTATGAAATTGCTCCCAAACCCTAATCCTAAGACTCAAAGACAACACTCTCATGCATAACCCTAATCCTAAGCATATTAATCCTATTTATACTAAAAAATAATAAATAATAAAAGACTAAATTGCCCTTAAGGACTGGCATAACACGGATTTCTAACATTAAAATAAATGTAGACATATAATATAGATGTACGTTAAAAAATGCGCCAACATTAAATGGGTATCATTAAATCTGTAAACAGCACATCCAAGCAGCAGAAAATTTTGAGCAGCGCTTAACACAAGACAATATCACCCATAAAACCAGTAAATGAAAGTTTTATTGACATAGAAAGACCAAAGATACATTCGAATTATTCAAGCAATATATAAACTTTTAAACATCGTTAAAAATGAGTGGATAATGTACTTGAAGTTGCGGTTTTAGGCTTTCACAGGATCCAATAGGTTGCATAGGTGAGTGGCAGTTCAAAACCACAGCCTGCGCTAATGCTGGTAAGATGGTTTTCATCATGGCTCCTATGCGCAAATTACGAACCTATAATAAAGCAGACAAAATTATGCCCAAACATGGGGAAAGGTTAAAGAAAAGGGAAATTTGCATACATATTCCACAATGCTTATGCATTTACATATCTAACAGCCAAAATTTGATATTTACACATAACATCTTAGTGTTATAAACCTATGCATGAAAAGGCCTATTTCACTTCTAAAAAAGTAATGGTGGTGGTAATTTGATGTGATGTTAAGGATTTGAGTGGTATGCATGCAAATATGAATGTTTAGGCATTAGATATGTAAAAACAAAAGAATTGTGTGGAATTTATGTAAATGTCCCCAAGGAAATAAGGTCAAAATCATGTCCTTATAATATGAGGACCTTTGAGACTCCTTATACAGTAATATATATTGAAAACACATGCAAAAAATCCCCACTATCCTATCTACCTGTTTGGAAAAAAAATGCTGTTTATAAACAAGTACCATTACTTCCTTGGTTCAAACAAGTGCCATTACTCCCTTCGTTCAAACAAGTACCATTACTCCCTTATCCTCAAAACACAATTGGGCAAGAAAAGGTTTTGTCAAGCCAATTATTTAAAATGCACGAGCTAAGTAATTATGTGATCTCGCTTCTTGCTCCAAATAAATTGGCCAAATTATGCAAAACTTGAATTAGAGAATACCAATTGAGATAATGTAACGAATCACCATCAACATTGACTGAATGACCATTAAACTAACACAAATAAGATGGCCAAATTTACTATGGGTGTCAATTCCGATTAACAGACTAGGTTCAGGTTCAGCTAGAATTTTCAAGACCAGGACTTTACATGTTTATTAAAGGGGTCCTTGACTCACCTATTACACGACCGATTCTAAATTAGACCCAAATAAGCTATTTAACATATTTATAAACAAGTATAAATGAAAAAAAATCATTCAAACAGGATGCGTAAATGCATGACAAAAATGTCTTATCCAATATTAAATGTGAACTAATAAAAATAAAGATAGATAAAAATTATTTTGGTTGGTGAACCAACCTGAACTCAACCTGATAATTAGTTGAGTAATAAATTTCAACCCAAATCTTACCTGAAGGTTAATCGAGTCAACACAAACCCAAATTTTTTGTATGGTGTCATTTAATGACATTCCTAAAATTTATCATCATCACAATAAGATATTAATAAGTATTCAACTTATAAAATTAAGAGTTTTGTAGAAATTAGTGCCATGGCTCATCTACTTTATAGTTGCATGCTCAACATAGATTCGTTTCTTGGCTTTAAGAAGATTCTTCCATTTCAACTGTTTTGTGAAAACATCTTAGGTTGGTCCCGACATTATTTCCCAAACATCTTCACACACGCCAGCTACTTGCTTGGAGCCATTGCTATAACTCCTAAATATGACAAATGATAGTATTACACATGAGCTTGGATTCTTCCTCTTCCATTTGGTAGTCTAGGAACCTTTATTCAAATCAAAACCTACACATCCAAATCTTAATTTCAAATGTTTGTGCGGTGATCATAGGCCTTAACTTTCTAATTATTAATTCCAAGTGGAATATCTTTAAATATTGAATTTTCACCATTTTCAATTTTCCTATAAAATAAAAAATACGTATTTTAAGATTTAATAGCTTGCATCCTACAAAAATTCCATATTAATCATATGGATTGGATAAATTCAAAAATACATTACATGCCACATCGACATTTTAAAACTAGACTCTAAAACACCCAGTATAAATTACTATTGTAAATTAATGCTATTAAAAAGATATTAATCAAAATAATACTTGAGCTTGAAGTATGTTTAAAACTTTAGCTATTCTAAGATATCCTATGCAAAATACGTCCTGCATTATTGGAATTAACATACTACTAATTACAATAACCATCATGTTTGATGTTCTGTTTAAGATTTTAGCCTCTAATCTTAATAATCCAAAAAATAAATACACAAAAGTAATTTCTACAAATACTGGAAATAATCTAAAAGTAGGCATAACACTTGTGTTCCTTTTTTAATCAAAAGCCTAAAAGTCAAAGGCCAAAGAAAAGAGACTTACCCAACCAAAAATTAAACAAAGCCAATTTCATCATGCATCACATTCTTCGGCAAGCAGACCTTCAAGAGCCAATGGAAAAAATGCAATAGCAGAACAAAAAAAAAGAAGAAGGAAGCTTTGCATAAATAGCAGTCAATTCTTACATTCAATTTTTACATATATGTCATTTTCCCTATGCATAACAAGGCGTATTTCACTTTTTTAAAGATAAAATGGTGGTAATTTTTTATGTGATATAAATTTAAAAATTAAATTTTAGGTGTTAGACACGTAAATACATAAGAATAAAGTGGCATGTATGCAAATGCCCAAAAAACGAAGCATCATCTTACAAGAGTTCGGACAAGAAACTTCATCTCCATTTCTCTGCAAGACCTCATCAATTTCACGACAATTTGTTTCCTTCTAGCAGCACTGCCGCTACCTGTTTCCACACTAACAGAAAAAAAAAAAAGCATAAATATGTTATGTAAAGAAATTTTCTATAGAAATATATAAAATGAATAGAGCTAGGAAAGCGAAGAAAGCAAGAATTGTTATAGTTGACATAAGGAAGAAACAAAATAAATTAACAGTTGAACTCGCCAACAAATAAAAATGAAGTTAAATGAAATTGCTATGAGTTTAGTACGTCACAAGACAAAAATGAACCCCAAAAAAAAAAAAAGAAAATCCAGCATATAAATCGATAAAATATGTCATGATAAGATCTTTAGTACGTCACAAGACAAAAATGAACCCCAAAAAAAAAAAAAGAAAATCCAGCATATAAATCGATAAAATATGTCATGATAAGATCTCAACATTGATGTGAAAAATGAAAATCCTACCATAAATTTCCTAGGAAACTGCCAATTACACATGATATCAATTTCACCGACCATATTAGTTAAGTCTAAATGGCAGTTATGGTAATGAGTGTGTTCTCCGGGCTTTACCTTATCTTCCTTAGCATTAGAAACAAGGTACATATTGAAAGAGGACGAGGCAGAGCAAGTAACTTTTGGGTTTGCCGGCATTCTTGCGCAACATCACCTTCAAAGAGAACAAAATAATCAAAATATGACATGAGAGATTATAATGATAACCAATAGAAAAAATCATGATACACATTACCAAGATCACCAGAAGAGTTGTACATTTCTTTAATTCTGGATTTGCTGGTTCCACACGCCTCTTCCAATGCAGAAATAACCAGACCACCGCCAATATTCAATTCCTAGCTTCAAAGGGAAAATCATTTTTACAAACTAATGTTGCAGGCAAACTCTTGTTGAGGAAATTGAAGCGAGATGAAAGTTATTAAAATTTGAAAAACAAAATAATAGAAAATACAAAAATCACTCTGATATTACAATCTCTAATAAAATAGAAACTCAAAGTAGGCAAGATCTCAAGAAGGCCAAAAATATTTGAACAGAAAAAAATTGATATATTAAAAGGGAAGTTTCACAACATATGACTTAATTATGTCTTAAGCATAATTTATTAACCACATAGTAATAGCTGATTGTTTTTCCAGTTTACACCTCCTTTGCTTTAATACATTAAAAGGTAGCTTAATTATGTCTTAAGTATAATTCAACAACAACATGGTAATAGGTGTTTGTTTTTCCAGCTAACGCACCCGCTCACCCACACCGGTCTATGCTTAATTAATATCAAACAAAATCGTAAATTGTACACCCTCTTTAGATAAATGGGATATGCCACACATTACATCTTTGCACATCAATTCATTAAATGCATTGTTGAAATGATGAAAAATAAAAATGACATTGTTTCAAACAAATTGCACTTAACTTTCTTTCCTTCATACTTTTATTTGAAACTTAAAGGGGCTCCTACCTATGAATATTTTTGTTAAAAAAAAAGATAGAAATAGATCCCAAACATTTTATTTATAATAAGTTTGGCAGTAGTATAGACCCATGAACTCCACACAGCCCGGAAAATTACTACCCTCATATATGCAATATAAAGGATCGTACTGCTTGAGCTAGAGAGACAAATGACTTCAATCTCCATTGCAATCGTCGTTTTCTCTTTCACACCCAACGACGAAGGACTTCGGCATCTGCTTCTTCGATTTCGTCGTCTCCTCCTTCGTGCCATCCAGCTTCTGTGATTTTTTTTTACGCGGATTCCCTCGTCAAGCTGCAGTTTCTTGTCTGTCTTCTGTGCATTTCATCTGCAGTTCCTGTCTTCTACGCAGCTTTGCCCCGACCTCTTTGGCTAGTCTTTTTTTGCGCTCTGCCCGACTTGCAGGGCTTCTCTTTGCTGAGATTGAGCTTCCTTCTTCTTCAGTTGAACCTGGCAAAACCTCCTTTGCCCACGTAGGTAATCCTCAAGGGGAGACGGCGGTTGTCTTCCATTCAAGTTATAAGGAGCATCGTGATAGTACGGGTGACTTTTCCTTTATTAAGAATGCAAGCAGGAAAAGTGGGAAAGCGGCACTCTTTTTCTCTGCGTCAGAAATTTCAACGCTGACTGAAAAGTTATCAGGAAAAGTTTTGATGACCTCAAATTGGCAGAAAAGTGGAAAGTGGAGCTCATGGATGGGAGACATGTATTGATTCAGTTAATCGTGCCTGAGGACTACACTCGGATTTTACTACACTCGGATTTTCTCTTTTCTCCAAAAAATATCTTAACATCGCTGGTAAACAAATGAAGCTAATCAAGTAGTCTCCTGATTTTAACCTCAATCATGAACCTCCTACTGTACCAGTATGATTTAGCCTACCTGGTCTCAAACTACATTTTTTTTCATCATCAGGTTCTTTACTTTATTGGTGCCATATTTGGGGACCCTATGAAGCTAGAGCTACCCACTTTCAACCTTACCAGACCTTTTGTGGCCAGAATACTTGTGGAAAGAGATATTACTTTGCCTGAGGTTACTGAAGTCTGGTTGGGTACAACGCATAATGGATATTGGCAACAAATCGTCATGGGGAGCATAGACCTTCTTATTGTTCTCATTGTAAGATGTTTGGGCATACCCTTGATCAATGTCATAAGCTTCATCCTAATTTGAAATCTAAAGATCAAGTGAATAATGATGGATCTAAGGATATATTTGTTCCACTTGGAGAGAAAGCTACCACAGGACAGAATTTGTTGTTTGATTCTATTGCCCCTGTGGACCCTCCCCCTGAAAATACTGTTTCTGAGATCGATGAGAAGCTGGATGGCTCTGCTGAGCAACCTACACTTTCAAACCCTATTGAAAATAATAATGAAGTAATGATGAAGGACCCCTACCAACACGGACTGATAATCAGGAGAACCTTGCAGCTCCCCACCTTCAGGAAGTATCAGGGATAGAGGCGACAACCCTTACCTCACATACACTTGTTGGCACAACCGTTGGCAATCTTTCTACTGCAGCGCTACCATCTCATCCGAATGAGCAACAATCTTCGGATGAAGAACGATAGATCTACACTTCTAGGAGGAAGAAGAAGAATGGTGATCTACTTGAGCTAAGGAATCTAATGGATGATACTCCGGTTACTTCGGGCAATGATACACAACTCACCAATCTATTAGTTGGTTTCTTTCCAAGAACTAGAGGCAGAGGCAGAACTAAAGTGGATTGACCTGGTTGATCTTTTATGTATCATGTACTTTTGGGTTTTTAATTTTCTTCTTTTTTTCTTTTTGTGTGTGTTGTACCATATAGGTTGGGTGCCTATTTGGGTCCACTCATACAACTTATTTGTACCCCTTTCTCCTTAATATATATGAACACACATACACACACATTTCTCTTCCTAGTAGTAGAAACACTGTTTTCTTTAACATAGTTAAAACTGGTGCCAGCCAAATTTCAAGAAATTTTAAGGGCATCTGGTTATTAATTAATACAAAAAATTGATGCCTCAGATTTCACTAGAAAATAATTGTGATTTTAATAAGCAGACGCTTTTTTTTTATATATAAGAAGGTACTTTAAAATAGGTTCAAATCAATTTTAGGGGTTATTAATGGTGCCTTACATGTATTGGACAATTTTGATTAATGGAATATATGAAAAACCTAAACTTCAAATGGCATTGTATGTGCTCCCCAATCATCACTGAATTTTTATCATGATTAAATGAAACTTTAGAAAAGAATCACCAAGAAGCGACTCTTTATGAATAAGATTGTAATCCTTTTATTTTAAATTGAAATTAAAATAAAGAATTATTTCTTTCGAATTTAAATCAGTAATTATCCCTTGATATTAGTTTGGTTGACGTGCTTCAAAATCATTAACAAATTCTAATTTACTTTCTCATTGAATTATTCATATCGGAATTTAAAAAACATCCAATGGAAAACAAATATTATTACTGAATTCACGACTAAAATTACAAAAAAAAAACATAAGAAAATCTGAAATTGCAACAAAACAACACACAACACTAGAAATTAGGTTGGATCCAGGGTCGAGGTGGTGCTATTTAGGGACTTCGACCTCTGGGGTGATGCGCACATTTCCCAATGTTGGACCCGACATGGCTCCAGGATCGTGCAAGAGGCGCAGAGCCGAATCAAACGACAATCGTTCAATTTCTTTCTAATTTTTATCAAGTTTCCTTCTTTTCATTCATATATATGTGTTTTATTAGGGTTAGGATGATAGCTTTTTATGTGTTGTACCGGAACAACCCCCAAATTATCTTCTTTCCTTCGAAGGTTGTATCTTAGTGTTTTAGGTGTTGCTTCGGCTGTATCTTGGTCTCTAGATGGTGTTTATCTTCTCCACACCCTCTCAAGTCCCTCCCGCTTCGCTCTCAGTTGCCCTCCATTGTTGCAGCCGCCTAGAACAGCATTCCAATTGTTGTTTTTTGCAGTTCCAACTAACGTTACCCCTCCCTTCGCTTCGTTGTCCAACAGTTATAGCCCACCAACATCGTTGCCCAACCATCTTGTACCTCTGCCGCCACCAAAAACCCCTTTGCCTTGTCGTTTTCCAGCAGCCTACAACCTCCCAGCTGCCTCCCCATTTCCTTCTACATTGCTGCCACCCAAATCGCCCCTTTCCAGCCTTGTTCTTGTTGTTCTAGCCCTCACACCTTGTCACCGTCGCCCTAGATAGCAACGAAACACCTCTTTCCTATTGTTCTACCGCTATCCACTCCAGCTCCTCACTGCCACCAGCCGAGCCAACAACCATACTTGTTGTCTCTACATTTTTGCACCACCCCCTCGCCGCCACTAGCATTCCTTTGCCGTCACCAAACTCGGCAGTCATTCCGATCCACCTAGCCAACCTTCACCACTATTGGGATACACTTTATTGATGTTTGTTGTGTTTTTTGTTACATTTTCCTTTTAAGTGTGTTTGGTTGTAATCACTTATTTGCTTTCCTAGTATTATTTTAGGTTAACTTTGATATCATTTGGTATTAGACTTAGACTACCCTAGTACTATCTTAGAATTTCTAGCATCCACCAATACTCAACCCAACCTCCACACAAAAATCCTTCCCTTACTGATTTTTCAAACTGGCCACCCAAACACTTTTTTCCCACCTTACATCATCCCTATACACCCTCTTCCCCTTACCTACACCTAATCCCTAATCATGCTACCAAAAACACAATTGTTGGAGACCTGATCAGAAGGAAATAGCACCATGCTGCTTATGAAAAATTCACAAAGAGGTGTCCAAAAAATTTTTAGGAAAGATACGTAGTGGGAAACCCTCAAACTGCAACGGAGGCTCGCCGCTATAGAGTGAAGACTAGGGGTCGCCCAAACTTGATTTGATTCCAGAGATAAAGAATAATAACTACCTTAAAGATATGAAATGAAATATTGAAAAAGCTGAGATTTTGAAGTAAATATGAATTTATCATATCTTGGCAGTTAAATAGATCCGGATGATTCATTGAGTGGCTCTTGGCATTGAAATATGTCTTTGATTGGCAGGAAGTTGAACCAGAGGAAATGGTGGAACTAGTCGTCAGAAAGTTAAGAAAGAGCACATCTTTTTGGTGGGAGAGCATAAAGATTCTTCGACAACGAGAATGGAAGGGTAAAATTACTACTTGATCTAAGATAAAATGAGAAATGTAACGTTAGTACCTACCAGTTCATTATAGACTGAATGTTCATACCCTAGCTTCAAAAGTGAAAAGGTAACATCACCAAATGACCGCCACATCTTATAAATAGAGTTCAACACAAGAATCAAGCAGCAAAAGTACACTAAGCAGAAC